TGAAACTGTAAAAAATTTCATCTTGCTTGGATCCACAATCATCACTGGCGGTACTAGCAGTCAAGATTTCAAAAGACTTATGCAGATGATACAACCCTGCTTGCTGAATCTGAGGAGGATCTGAAGCCCTTGCTGCAGAAGGTCAAGACTGAAGCCTTCAATATGGATTGAAGCTCAACATCAAGAAAAACGAGATTCTCACCACTGGGCTGCTTGGCAGCATTATGATAGATGGTGAAGAGATTGAGACTGTTAACAGCTTTAGTTTGCTTGGCTCTACAATCAACACTTTTGGTAACAGCAGCCAGGAAATCAAGAGACAAATTGCTTTGGGAAATTTGGCTGTCAGGGGCCTCTCCAGAGTCCTGAAGAATAATGACATCAGTCTGAAGACTAAAGTGCATCTGATTCAGTCCATAGTCTTCACAATTGTGTGCTATGTGTTGGAGAGCTGGAAAATGACGAGGGATGATATAAAGAGCTGTGGTGCTGGAGAAGAATGTTGAATATACTATGGAAGCCAGTAAAACACATAAGTTTGTTCATGAGAGGGTGAATCTAGGCTGCTCCTTGGGGGAAAGGCTTCTGAGGCTTCGTCTGACATACTTTGGGCATGTTCCAAGGAGGGACAGGTCCTTAGAGAAGGACATCATGCTTGGAAGGGTGGAAGGATGGAGAAAGAGAGGGATATCATTGAAGAGATGGATTGATTCAATGACTATGGTAATGAGGCTAGGTGTGTCAGAGACAGTAAAGTTGACACAGGATAGAGTATGTTTCAAGGCTGTTGTACGTAGGGTCACTATGAGTTGCAAGTGACTCGATGGCACATAACAACAACATGCATCTGAAAGTTGGGTAATGAATAAGAAAGACAAGAAGAATGGATGTCTTTAAGTTGTGGTGTTGGAGATTATGGAAGACCCATATATGTCTTGGAGAAAGTGCAACCAGTATATTCCTTAGAGGCAAGAATATGAAAGTTCATCTCACATACTTTGGGGATTTTGTTAGGAGGGCTCAATCTTGGAGAAAAACCTCATGGTTGGAAAGGTGGAGGGTACGCGAAAGAGAGGAAGACTCCCAATGACATAAATTCACACAGTGTCTGTAACAATCAGCTCAAGGATATCAGAGATGATGAGGATGGCACAGTCTCGGGCAGGGTTCAGACCCTTTGTTCACAGGGTCACTATGAGTCATAGTCAAGTCAATGGCACATAACAACAATAATGATGGTGATGAGTTGCTTACAGGTTAATATTAGAAAGGAAACTGGTTGTGTTAGAAGTTATGGGTTGCTCTGAATACATGTATCATATATAAATGTTCAAGCTTTAGGGTGGGGTTGTTGTTGTTGTTATATGCCATCAAGTTGCCTTGAGACTCATGATGGCGACCCTATGTACAACAGCTCTGAGCTCTGCCCTATCCTGAGCCAGTCTCACTGACTCCAACACATCTAATCCTATTGCTCCAGTTATTATGTCAATCCATCTCATTGGGTCCTCCTCTCCTGTGCTGCTTACACAATCCTCCTCCAAGGACCGGTCATTCCTAATCTTGTGCTCAAAGTATGTGAGACAGAGCTTCAAAACCTTGCCTCCAAGGAGGAACTTGGTTTCACCTTCTCAAAGACAAATCTATTTGTTCTCCTTGTGGTCTATGTTATGTTCAAGACTCTTCTCCAACACCACACTAAAAGGCATCAATTCTTTTTCTGTCTTCCTTAGTCACTGTCCAGCTCTCTGATGCATAGCAATTAATGGCGAAGACCATGGCCTGGATCAGACGCACCTTAGTCTCTAGACTGACATCATTGCTCCTTAGCACTCTGGAGAGGTCCCTGACAGCAGACTTCCACAATACAGTTCCCTATCCTGCACCAGCCTCACGCTCTCTGCCATGCTCAAGCCCACCGTATTAGTAACTGTGTCAATTCATCTCATTGAGGTTCTTCCTCTCTTATTCTGACCCCTCTGCCTTTCCCAACAGGATTTATCTCTCTAAGGAGGAGGTCGAAACCACGATTTCACCACAAAGCCATCCCACTTGCTCCCGACGAGATTGGTTCCACAAAGAAGAGTCTGTGCTGCGGAACCCCACAGGTGGGAGGAAGAGGAGAAAAACGTCTGAGCCAATTCACCTCCACTACAGCTGCGTTTCCAGCTCTTGCCACCAGGTGGTGCTGCCGGTTACGGTTTTATACCAGGGACCCGGTCGTTAAACTTGGGGGGAGGGCAATGGGAGGGGTGGAAGGAGGGAGAGGACTGCTCTGCCTTTCAGTTTCATCATTTATAAAACGTCCATAACGCTAATTGCGAGTAAGAGGATACCCGAAGACCTAAATGAGGGCAGTGATGCCTCCAAAGTAGAATTCTCAGCTTCCACGTGCAATTCTCTTCTAAAGTTCTAAAGAAGCAAGAAGTCAGTTTAAAGACTAAGGTGCACCTGATCCAAGTCACGGTATTTTCAATTCTTTCTTATGCGTCTGAAAGTTGGACAATGAATAAGGAAGACTGTAGAAAAACTGATGCCTTTGAAATGTGGTGTTGGGAAAGAGTATTGAATATCCCGCGGACTTCCAAAAAAACCAAATCTGTCTTAGGAAGTGCAACCAGAACGTTCCTTAGAGGCAAGGATGGGGAAACTCTGCTTCACTTATTGTGGGCATGGATTTCAGGAGGAACCACGCTTTACAGAGAGACATCCTTTCAGCAGAGTCAGAATAAGAGAGGAAGAGCCGCAACTAGAGGGACTGACACAGTGACTGTGGCAGTGGACTTGACCGTGACACAGATGGTGAGGATGGTGCAGGGTAGCGCGGGGTTCAGATCTGTAGTTCACAGGGCCGCGTTGTAATTGGCTTGACAACACCTCACAACAACATGAGGAATTTATGGTTCAGTTCCTAGGAATGCGCTTCATACACAATCCCCACCCACCTGTCCGTCACCACCCACCTGTCCGTCACCACCCACCTGTCCGTCACCACCCTTCTGTCGCCACCCACCTGTCCGTCACCACCCACTTGCCCGTCACCACCCACCTGTCAGTGGAGGCTTGCATGTCGCTGTGATGCCAATCAAGTTTCAACAGTTTCCAAACTAAGACTATGAGGAAAGGCCTGGCAGCTAGCTTCTAGACATCAAGGCAGTGAAAAGGCGATGGAGTACAGGGTCTGCTCCACCTGTACATGAGGTCACTGGGAGTTAAGTATGGAGTAGACGTTACAGCCGCCAACGGTAACAGCAATAATAACAACGGCTTGAACGTTTTCCTTAATTCCCCAGAAACACTCAATGCCCTAAATTTCTAACATTTTTTGGTGGTGGGTTTGTTTTTTTCTTTTTTTTAACCGAACTATACATTTCATTGAGCCAATCTGCTTTCAAGGACCTCTTTAAAATGCTAGCAAGCAAGAAGCTGCACTGCAACCCCAGAGGCGTGCGGTTCAAACCCACCAGACGCTGTGCTGGAGAAGGGGTAATTTCATTTTTTACGAGTCAGATCCGATTTGATGGTACACACACACACACAAATGATATCAAGCAAGGATATCAGTTTAAAGTCTAAGGTATACCTGATCCAAGGCATTGTTGTTATTGTTGTGTGCTATTGAGTGGGAATTGACCCATAGCTGACCCTCAAATGGATTTTCAGAGGCAGTAAATTGCACAGGAAGAGTCTGTCCATCTTTCTGCAGAGCAAGTGGTGAATTTGAACCATGCACCTTTGGGGATGCAGCTTCGTACCACTAGACCACCAGAGCGCCCTGAGCCAAGTTGTGATATTTTCAATTATTTCACACGCAGTTGAAACACTGAAAGTTGGGTAATGAATAAGGAAGATGGAAGAAGAATTAATGCCACTGCATTATGGTGCTGGTAAGACTATTGACTGTACCATGGCCAGTCAAAAGAACAAAGAAATCTGTCTTGGAAGTTTTCAGTGCGCTCGTTAGAGGCAAGGAATGTGATATTTCAGCTCACCTTGGGTGTGTTATCAGGAATGATAATTGAAAAAGGACATCGTAAAAAAAAAAGAAAGAAAGAAAAAGGACATCGAAGACCCTCAATAAAAGAGAATGGCACCGTAGCAGCAATGATGGGCCTCAATCCAACAGGGTCTGTGAAGACGGCTCAGGCTCGGTCAAGACTTCTGTCTGTTGTCCATGGAGCCGCTGTGAGCTCAATGGCACTTAACAACAACACAGACACCAACTCCCAACCAGTTTATTCAATCAGACCATAGATGGGGAAACTGAGGGTTAGGGCTGCAACTTACAAGAAAGCCTCAGAGGGCTTTTTCCTTCCTGGGAAGTCTGGGATCAGGGTCACAGGACCCAATGGGTATGGGTAGTGCTGTGCTTTTATGGCTGTTGTGTAAGACAGAGAACATGTGGGTGACCTGGTAGTGGGACTTGGAGTCCAGAGAGAGCAGGGAACACATCAATCCAGGGACATCTGAAGACAGAAATCGCAGTGGCTTCCAGCAACACAGTAAATACACAAGCAGACAGGCTCATGTCTTCAGATACGGCTCCCCTTTCATGCTCCAGTCCAGAATTGGATCTGGGTGGTGGCTTGTGCCCCATTTCAGGTTCTCTTGCAGTGGAGGGTCCCACACTTGTGCAGAAGAGAAGAGGAAGGCACTTGGGGGAGTATTATGCCTTGGCCTGGCTTCCCCCCCACCCCACGCTACCCCAGAGTCACACAAGAGGCACAAGCCTGGCACATAATACATAGTAGGTGCTCAGTAAATATCTGAAAAGGAATGAAAGGATAAAGTGATGGTCATGGCTTAAGAGTGGCCATTGGAAAAGCCGGACTGGAGTCCCCAGGAGTGGGATCCCAAGTGTGCTCAAGAGAGCTCTCTTAACCTAGCCTGAGGTGTGCCCGCTTCTACCCCAATTTTAAAGCTTGGCTGTCTTCCTTAATTGTGAGAGGATGAGGCCACCAGGTCCGTAGTCATCTGCATCTACTTGCCAGTAGTGCTTCTTAGGTGCCAAAGGGCTGGGCCATCACATCGCCCTCACAGGCCATGAAAGTCCTGCCCTCGGTCCTCTGGCTATCCAGCTGTGGCATCTGGGGGTTAGGACTGGCCTTGGGGGACAAGAGCTCAGTGTCAGGCAACTCTGAGGCCTCCCCACCCATTGCTTCCTGCTCTTCCTCCTCCTCTTCCTCTTCCTTCGCTTCCTCCAGGGTCAGCTTGAACTGGAAGCGGTCAGGCCCACCGCGCTGGGGGCTGCTGGGGGCCGGAGGGCTGCGGGGGATCTTGCTCTGGTACCACTCTCGGTTGTCCTCCAGTGTGTCCAGCAGGTCCTGGGCATCTGGGTGCACTAGGTCGGCCCAGGTCTCCCACAGAGGGTGGACAATGTAGTCAATGAAACCCACCTATAGGGGGCAGGGAGACAGTGATGAGTTCCATCGGACCAATGACCCAGTCCAGTCACCTGGCCCTAGACCAAGACATTCCCTCTGTCCAGAAGCCACTACCCAATTCTGACTCACCCTTCTAATATCCTATTTCCATGTCCCCTCTTCTAGGAAATCCCCCTCCGCTCGAGGGCTCCTCTACCCTGACCCCATGCGGGCCTTGCCCTCAGACCTGGGACTTCTCCACAGAGGCCGTGTGCTTGTCACACATGGGGCTGATGTCCAGGCCGATCTCGCGCTCTCGGTCACCCTGCTGGAAGAACTCGGCCATGATGCGGTCTGTCCACTGGCGGTAGAGGGGCAGCGGCTTGGTGGGGTTGCTCAGGTCGGCGCAGTGCACCAGGTTCTGTAGGACCTGGGGGGAACAAGGTGTAGGTTCGAAACCCTCCTTCCTCCCTCATTGCCACTAACCTACCTTACAGGTGTGAAAACAGGCCCAGAGGAGCAGGAGTGGCCACGCCACAGGCAGGTGGGTCCTGGGACTTCTGTTTCTCCCAATTCCGCACTCAGCTGGTGCTTTAGAAATGCAGCTATAAGAGTAACTGCTCCCGAGCCAAGCACCTGGATGCGGTCGGAGTAGTTATCCAGCAGCAGGACCCCGAGGCTGGCCACCTTCTTGGTCTCCACCATGGTCTTGAGGTCAGCAAGCAGGTTCATGTGTTTGGACATATCCGTGGCCAGCACCTAGGGACAGTGGAGGGCGTGCGGCCGCATGAGGAGTGAGAGGTGAGGGGATATTTCCTCCCTCCTCACTCCTTCCCTCACTCTTAGCTGTCAACCAGTACCCGCCCTCAGACTTCTGAGCCTCAGTGTCCTCCTCTTTGGAATGGGCCAGGGGTGGAGGGAGGAAACACAATGAGTTTTGGCTGCAAACCCTGGGCCAGAACTATTTTGGTCACTGGCACAGGGCCGTGCAAGCAGTGAACCAAGTTGGCTGCTGTTGAGTTGATTCCAACTCAAAGTGACCCCCTGTGAGTCAGAGAAGCGCTGTGCTCCAGAACATTGTCAAGGGCTGCTTTATCGGAAGCAGATCACCAGGCCTTTCTTCTGAGGCACTCCTGGGTGTATTTGCACAACCAACCTCTCAATTACCAGCCCAGTATTTAAATCTGTGCCACTCAGAGACTTCGGGCACATAGGAAGTGGTCAAGAAATGCTTGTTAATGCACACCCATGCTTATTGCGGCCTTGTTCACAATAGCAAAGAGTTGAAAACAACCCAAGTGCCCATCAACAAACAAATGGATAGAGAAGCTGTGGTATATAAACACAATGGAATAATATGCTGCATTGAAAAACAAGGAACTAATGAAATATTATTCAAAATGAATGACCCTGGAAGACATTATGCTGAATGAAATATCTCAGTCACAAAAGGACAAATACTGCATAGTGCCACTGTTGTAAAACAGGACTGACATCAGGGTTGTGGGGAAACTGAGAAAGGGGGGATAAATTATGTATACTGCATTGAAACAGATGAGAGTGAGAACTGTTTAAAAGGGATATATAATTAGATATTATTGTCATGGCAAGAGTCCAGAAAGAAGGCTGCAGAGTGGAGTGGACTTGGGGGAAGGGCTTGCATAACAATGAAACAATTTTTCTTTTACTTTTCAAAAAGAAGAATGAACTGGAGGGGCGGGCTGGGCAGGGAGAAAAGAGCAACAATGAATGAATGGAAATCCAAAATCTCTGTAAATTTTCATTAAAATTAATGATAATAATAATAATAAAAGAAGTACTTGTTAAATGAATGAATGAGTCATGATACCCCAAACTGAATGTATACCCGCCCCTTGCCCAAAAAAATAGCAAATGGAGAGATGTAAGTTCAGAAAAAGTTGCACCGGAAACCTCAGAGTCTCAGTGTTCACATGGCCTGCGTATGAATCGCAGCAGGATTGGGCCACAGGACCCAAGGCTTGGCTGTTCCTGCCCAGAGCTTGACTGGTCACAGCCCGGTTTTCTAGGTGAGGCCCTGAGAGGAGGCACTCCTGGATTTGCCAGAACTCTAGACACACCATGATCACCCTCCCCCTACTACGTGCAGATAACAGAAAGTCCCCGGGCCTCTCACCATGTCGATGACCATTCTACGCAAGCTCAGGCGCTGCTTGGCACTGAGGTTCTGAAAGATGTCACAGTTCTCGGTCTGCAGTAGCTTGAAGCCCACAGCCAGGTGATGGTTCTCCAGCACAGAGGCGTCATTGTACATGAGTGCAAGCTCTGAGTCTGTCGGGGAGGTCAGGAGCCTTGAAACCTACCCAAACAAGCCACCCACCCGAAGTGTTCCTGACAAACTCCTACACGTTGGCTGAAACCCTAACTCAAATGCCCCCTCACTCTACAAGCCTTCTAGGATCCTGTTACTCCCTCTAGGACTATTTCATCTCCATTTATCAGCCCAATTCACCCACCTAAAAGGCAGGTTTTGGGAAACTTTGACAAACTCCTACACATTTGTTGAAGACCCAACTGAAATGCCCCCTTTTGTCCCTCCCTCTGGGTCTCCTTTGACTCACTAAAACTGGGAATGTCTGTGTTTGGTTCAGCCTTCCTGAGACCAGGGGTTTCTTAGGTCTCAGAAAGGACAGAGAGTAGGACAAGGCCCCAACTCACTTGTGTTTATCAGAAACTGGTTGGAGACCCCAGGATGATCCACATCGTGAATGGCACTTGCAAAGATGGCAGCGAGGACTTCCAGGTCTGTGAACACGGCCTGGGTGGGCACAGGGTATATGGGGTAAAGGGCAGGCTTTTCCCCTCTAACCTTGTCACCACCTCCTGGCGGGGTCTGTCATACCTCGAGGGCCGGTGTGGCTAGCAGCACGTGTGTGGACTGTGCCACATCAGCGGCATGTAGGCTGTTGTGATAGGCCCTGTCAGCGTGGTAGTGGCCCTCCAGCGTCAGCAGGTAGGTGAGGAATGTGTCAGCCGGGATCTGGAATGTCTTTAGCAGGTCTCGCTCCTGGTCCATTATAGACCTCAGGTTAGAACCTTGGCTTTGATGTGGTAGCACATGCTATTCCTTCTTCTTTCCTCTGAATGTCTATCATTCCTCAAACATCTAGGATGTTCTCCCTCTTTTTTCTCAGTCTCTATCCTTCCCCTCTGGCCCAGACCTCATCACATAGGGCTAGAGGTATCTATATCCAGCTGTCCCCTGCACCCTAGGTTCTTCAGTGCCAGTCTCAGAACTGAAGCTTGTTGACAATGCATTTTTTTTTCCATTTAATGAACTCCTATTCATCCTTCAAAATCCTGTTCAAATAACCTTCACTGAAGAGTGTAAGGGAAGGATTGAAGAATGAATATCACCTGAGGCCTGGGGGTAGGAAGAGGTGAAGAAAACCCCAGGTGTCATATTGGAAGTCAAGGACCAGAAGAGTACAAGAGTACCTGAAAAATGCGGAACATGATGGCTGTAAGGGGCCGGTTCCCACTTAGCTCTGCCACCTTGAATATGTCAAGCCCCCACTTGTTAGTGTCTTCCAGCTCCTAAAATGGGAAACACTAGAGTTTAATCCTATAACTTCCCTAAACCCTGGTGCCTCAATCCTTCCAGGACCCATATTGAACCCCACCTGCCCAGTATACAGGTGGGCATACTGAGGCCTAAGATAGGGTGTCTGAATGGAGGCTGGACTCAAATCTGGGTCTTGGCATTAAGAGACCCACCTTAGCCAATTGTCCCTCCTGGTCAGTCTGGACGCCAAAGCGAGGGACAGTGGCAAGAGAGAGGCTGGCACTGTTGGGGAGCTCGCGCAGGCCGCTGATCTGCGACATGGGCCATGGGGGTTCTGTGGATGTCACCCTGGGCAGCTCCACCTCAGTCTGCTGATCTGTAGGTGGGACAGGATGCAGCTTAGAAAAGCCAAGTCACCTACTAGGATCATTCTTACCTGGCCTCAGGTCCTGGACCTTGACAAGCCTCGTGAACAACCTATTTCTCTTTTAAACTGGACAAGGAAAAGCCTGCCCTTTACCCCACATGTCCTGTGCCCACTCAGGCCATGTTCACAGGCCTGGAAGTCCTCACTGACATCTTTCAAAGGTGCTTCCTGCCTTAACCTGCATCTACCCTTTTCCACCATTCATGGCCCATTTTACTGACCTTCCTTTGCTGGACATAGGTCCTGGGACCCTGAGGCAAAGGATCTTCCCTCAACCAATTTTTTTCTATGACCTAAGTTGAAGATCCCGGTGTCTGACCCCTCATGGCAACTCCTATTCATGCTTCAAAACCCTCGCTTTAACAGCCACTTCTTCGCTAGCTTTAATATCCAGTTCTTGAAGTTTCACTCATTTACCATATGACCCTTGGGACTGAGAGTATCTGTGTTTGGTTGTGTGTCCCTCAGACTGGTGTCTTCTCAAGGGCCAAGCCCAGAATAAAGACCTGTTAGGGAGGCCCTGTCATCCTTAAAAAGTTTAGAATGAAACTTTCTTCTTGTTTTCTTTCTTTTCCTTCATCCGACCATTCCACCTTTGCCCAGGCAGTGATCCACCACAGCTCACCCAGGAAGGTCCTGGAGATGTACTCAGACACCTGGTTTCCTGAGCGGCTGGTTTCTGACAGGTGGCTCAGCTCCCTGGTCAGCATCCGTTTGAACTGTAGGGGAGGGACAGATAGTGAGAATGGGGGAACTTAGGGCAGAATCAGGCTCCTTCAGCTCTCTGGCGCCCTCACCTTGTTGGAGGCCATCTCTCCTACAGAGTGTCGCGTCTGCAGGGTCTCCAGCTGGTCCAGGCACCAGTCCAGCTCTTCCAGCGTCTCCAATGCCAGCTTCTGCCCAGAATCCTCTGGGGAGGTGGCACATCAGGGGCCCACCAGGCAGCCCCATCCCCACGCAAGGGCTCCCACATGCCAACCCTTGTATCTAGAAGTCTTCCCCTGGGACCACTCAGAATTTCAAGATCCAAATTCCAGTTGTGCCCCCAAGTGACTGGGCCTCTGCCCCTCCCTGACCTTCCGCCTTCCCATATGTCAGATGGGTCTGGGTGAGTCTCCATCCCCAAGGGTGCATTTTTCAGTTTTATTAGGATTTATGGGCTAGGGATGTCCTCAGGGTGGCATGATGGGTAAGTGGGAAAGGCCACACTTGTTACCTGTGGGTAGAGGGGTCTGAATACCAGATGGGGAATTACTGCTGGATGTCCACCTGTGGAGGAGTCAACTCAGAACTGGCCCTACCCTACTTGGCTAGCTGCACCCCAAGTCCTCCAGGCCTCCCCCTTCTACCCTGCTTGGGTGCACCGGTGTCCCAAGCCTGCCCTGGCTTCTTGCAGTCTGGCCCAATTCTGGGTATATGCAATTCTGGTCTCTTTCCACCTGACAACGAACGCCCTGCACACCTGGCGTTACCACCTCTCTCCACCCAGCCCCGCCCCACCATCCATGTACTTGGTGGCTGCACAGCCTTGCAGGTGGGCGAAGGCTGCCATGTTGCTCCGAACGGTCCTCAGACTAGCCAGAACCTGGCGGCAGCAGGAGGGGGCAGTCAGGGCCAGGGAGGGAGGGACCAGCTCCACCCACACAGGTAGAAGGGTAGACACCCACCTGGGCAAAAGGCGTCACAATCATGTCTTCTCCGTGCCTGTGGGGAGAAAGGCAATTAGGGAAGGTGTTCCCATTTACCAGTTTCTACTCACACCATGACATCTGCTGAGGATGTCCTTTCCCCAAGACTTAACTTCTGTATAACCCCTGGTCCTTGGATTCTCTCAAACTGCTCTTTTCTGACTACTCAGTTTATCTCCATTTCTTAAATGGGGAAACTGAGTTCCAGGGACAGGAGAGCCAAGGTAGAAATGATCCTATTTCCCTTTTCACTGTTGCTACCAGGAAGCTCAAATCAAATTGTTCCATTGTTATTATGTGGCTTTAACTTTTCTGACATCTAATCTCCACCACTCACACTCCAGTTTAAACCTGACATAGAAATTCAAAGGGGACCATTTACTGATTCGCTGAGTGAGTTACCTGCCTGGCAAACTCCTATTCAGTCCAGATCATATGGTTACTTGAGGAAAGGTTGCTGAAAAGAGGGCTCCCTCAAGAAAAGGAGGGAGAGATGAAGGACTCACAAGTCACTAGCCACGGATGAGTTCCTGGACATAGGTTTGGGCGAAAGCTCATAATCGCTGTCTGAACGGTACAGGAAAGACTCTCTCCGCTGGCTGTGGGAAGCAGAGGTCTGGGCGGCTCGCAGACCTGAACTGCCTTGAGGGTCCAGGGCACTCCTTCCACACGACAGTCCATTTTCCAGGTCAAAGCTGGAGGCAGAAAAGATGTGGTCAGAGCTAAGGAGTCTGGCACCTGAGTGGCAAGACCCCAGATTAGGACTATGGACATGTAGACCAATTCATCCTGCTAAAGCCTTCACACTTAAAACAGAAGCTGTGGTATATTCACACAATGGAATACTACGCTGCATTGAAAAACAAGGAACTAATTCAAAATTAGTGACCCTGGAAGACATTATGCTGAGTGAAATATCTCAGTCACAAAAGGACAAATACTGCATAGTGCCACTGTTGTAAAACAGGACTGACATCGGCGTTGGGGGGATACTGAGAAAGATGGGATAAATTATGTATACTGCATTGAAACAGATGAGGGAGAGAACTGTTTAAAAGGGATCTGTGGGGGGGGGGGCAAAGGGATATGTGATTAGGTATTTTTGTCATGACAGGAGTCCAGAGCGAAGGCTGCATAGTGTAGTGGACCTGGGGGCAGGGATTGTATAACAATGAAAGAATTTTTCTTTTACTTTCCAAAGACAAGAGTGTACTGGGGGGAGGGGTGGGCGGGGAAAAAAGTGCAACAATGAATTGAAAATAATAATTTTTAAAATCCCATATATACAGATTTTAAAACAAACAAACAAACAAAGCTTGGGTACTCATGTTACTGAAGAGGAAACTGAGGCCCACTGTACAACCAACTCCTGGATTCTACTTCCCGGAGAGCAATCCTGTCCACTGGCAGCGAGAGGGATTCCCATCACTGGTGAAAGGCCCCGCCCACAGCCCTCCAGCCCCACCCTCCGGCACATAACCACGCCCCGAAGCATACGGACCACGCCCCAGACAGCCAAGCCACTCCCCAGGCCTCAAGCCCCACCACTAACCCACAAGGTTGCTTTTATTTCTCGACTGCTCGCTGCCTGCAGCCGTTTGGTCACTCATCATGCAAGGTCTCAATGTCTCCTGCTTTGTTTAGTCCCCACCTCAGCTCTTCCAGCTGTGTCCCTCCCTCCAGTTTGGGCTTAGAGATTGGAGAAAATGTGGCGGGAGTGAGGCAAGAAATAGTAGGGGGAGCCAGGGGATAATGGTGGGAGGCTGACAAAAGAGGCTGAAACTGAGACAGACTGGGGGCCTCTTGACCAAGGATCAGTGCCCATCTGGTCTCTGCCTAAACTTTTGGATCAAAGGTCACCCCGTCCTGTCAGGGTCTACTTTGGTCACCCCGTCCTGTCAGGGTCTACTTTACATAGAATTCAGATATGTTCGGGTAAATTCGGACCTCTTCGGCTATGCCTGCACATCGCTCAGGCGGCCTCGAGCAGGTCTGGGTGGCGTTCGGGAGAAGTCGGTCGTATTCGGCTGAACCTGGGCGCGCTCGGAAAAGGTCGGGCGTGCAGGCCGAACCTGCAAAGACTCGGCCAGTCTCGCGGGTTCCACCGCTTGGAGCCCGCACTGGGGTGGGGGGTTGGGGGGATTGATTTCAGCCTCCGGCTCCGTGACATCATGGGGCGGGGCTTCTTAACCCTTCCATGCCTGGATGGGGGTCCGAGTGCTGCAGGCCTGGAGACGCCCCTAGGGGCGGACTATATATACCCCCAGACTCTGGCCGAGGAGAAGAGGAGGAGGAGAAGAGGAAAAGTAGTAGTAGGAGGAGATCTAGATATGGCGATGACCTGTCTTGTCTTTGCCCGTCTTCAAAGGAGGGCCTGTGGACAAATGGGGATACTGAAGTGACCTCAAGGTCCAGAGTTCGAATCTACATCTCAAGCACAGAGGGTTAAAGCGTCTAGGCTGGGGTTTTCTGGGGCTGAGAGCACTGTTTTTCTTTCCGCTCTAAACTTAGCCAGGAGTGAAGGGGTCAGGCAGGCGGTTCCATGACGCGGACGGCGCGGGGAGAGGTCAAGGGGCTGTGGGAAAGGCAAGGCTGCCCACTGATCAGATGGGTAAACCGAGGCACGGAGGGGCCTTGGATGCCCAGGGTCTTGAATGTCCTGGGCTTAAGAGTCCAGCCCGCAACATATCCACTTACCCTGATTCTCTAGTTTTCAACGTATCTGAGATCACTCCCTCAATGCCCTTATTCTTTCCTGGGAGCCCTCCACACCCAAAGACCCTTTCAACACCAGTGACCTCTCCCAGGCTGACGTGGTATTATCAGTGACCACAATCAGGACCCTCACCTCCAGCCCAGTCACTATCTGGCAGGGTGGGTGGAAGAAATGATGTTTTGTCTCCAAGCCTCTTGTCAGAGAAGTGGGGACAAATATAGCACACTCCAAGTGCACAGTTGACCCACAAGGCTGAGCTCGTCTTAGTTCAACCAGAAGTCACAGCCAGTTCCTTCAGGGTAGGAATACCAACTAACTCAGATCCGTGGATGAAGTCAGAACCCTTATCCAAACCCCTAATATTTATCTAACCTCTAACCTTACCCAAACTTCCTAACCTTCCTTAATCCTACACCTTAAACATTTTAACCTTAAACCCTAGCTTCCAGCCCCTAATCCCTAATTCTTCAGCTCTTAACCCTAACCTCTAATTGAAACCCTAATCCCAAAGGACTGACTGCACAGAGCTGGGGATGAGTCCTGACTGGTGAGTTCTCAGCCCAGGCAGTTCACCATGTTTGCTATGGAGTCGGAATTAACTTCTAGTTAACTCTCCAGCGGGGTTTCAGAGGCAATAAATAGTACAAAAGGAGATTACCCATCTTTCTTCTGCAGAGCAGTTAGTGGATTTGAACTGCGTGCCTTTGGGATGGCAGTGCAGGTCCTTACCACTAGGCCACTAGAGCTCCCTATGTAGCCCCAAACACCTGCCTAAAACAACACACAAACCAACCCCTTCGGATCCACTATTGTTGAGTCACTTGTGATCCTGCAGATCTTTGCAGGATGACATTGTTCACCTTTCTCCTGTGGATCAAAACCACTAATCTTTGTCAGTCACTTAACACATAAGGCACTATGCCACCAGAACGTCTCCATAATGAGACCCTGTGAATGATCAGAGCCCTGCTCTATCCTGCAACGTCCTCAACATCTCTGCCACCTCCAGCCCACTGTTACAGTTACTGTCAACCCATCTCCTGGAGGGCCTTCCTCTCTTTCACTGAACCTCTACATAGCTCAAAGGCCACCATTAAATTGGGGACCTCAGGGGCTCAGTGTGAGGTTGGTCCAGGACAGATGGTGGGGGACAGGGAGCCAAAGGGGAGGGCTGTCACCCCCACATATGCCGTCAGGGTCAGAGGGAGCTGTGAGTTCTGAGACTGCTCCAGACCACATAGAGGGAAGAGACCCAGACAGTGGGGCCCAGGCGCACGTCCAGGTTCTCAGGGAGGGAGCCGGGGGCGTGGGAGGGAGACAGGCGAGAAGCGAGGACCACGAGGCCAGCCCCGCCCTGCCCGCTGTCCCGCGCCCAGCCCGGCCACCCTGAGCCGCCCTGCTCGCCTCACCACAGCGGATGGGCCACGGTGAAGCGACGCTGCAGGCGGATGCTCTGGTTCACTAGGAGCTTCCTGAAGAGCCCGGGAGAGCCGCGCGGAGAGCCTCGAGGGGAGCCGGGCGCGGGGCCCGGGGCGGGCGCGGGGGACCCCTGCATAGCGGGGACCTGGCGGCGGCTGGCCCGCACTGGGCTGCGCGGGGACCTTTTCTGGGAAGCCAAGGGGGCGGGGCCTGGCAGGACAGGATGAGGGGGTGTGTGCACCCGCCCAGCCTCAACCTCAAGATCGCAGCTCCTGGTCTCCCATTGTGGACACAAGGGGAAACTGAGGCACGTAGTGTGTGTAGGGGGGCATCTCTGAGCTCCCTTTTTACAAGGCAGCTTTCTTAGTGTTTGAGAGGAGCTCAAACTCTAGCTCTTGAGCTTTCTTTCGCCTCCCTCACTTCCCCTGCCCTACTTCCCCCATTATTGCCGCCTGCGGGGCTGATAAGGGGGCCAGCCAGAAGAGATGCGGAAGTCAATAGTGAGAGAGAGGCCCTGAAAGCTTCCACTGCTGTTCTGAATGGAGGTTGGCCCCAGGCAAGGGGCGTTTGTGGAGGGGCTGCGATCCTGCTCTCCCATTTCCAACCCCTCTGCCCATTTTCTGGATGGGAAAACAGAGGGGAGGAGACACTACTTCTTCCTTCTTTGTGGGGATACAGGCTAGCAGAGAGGTGGTGACAGACAGGAGGATTCATGGCAACCCAGACCACCCCTCTCTCGGTCTTTCCAAGTCCCTCCGTGACCCCTACCCGCTGTGACATTCCCCAGGCCCTGTCTCTGGATCCTTTTGCTGTCTCTCCTGCTGTCACCACAGGACAAACATCCGCACCCCTCCGGGCCAGGTCTTCCGTCCTGGGAAGCCTCATCTGCCTCCTCCCAACCAAAGGACAGAGTGAGTCTGAAAAGGGAGGGGGCTTTGGTATTGTAGAAGGTTTGGGGGGAGGGCTGTGCTAGGCGCTGGAGCCCTGGGAATTCTGGGGTTGGCTGGCCCAGTTCCCATTCTACTCGGAAACAGTCAAGGGATATTTCACACACCAGGAAAGATTCAGAATGGCCATGTAACAAGCAAAGGACCCTGAGGCCACACAGAAGGCCCTGAGCCAATTCTCCCCTCTGCTGTGGAGTGAACCTCCAGCCAGGCTGTGCCCTGGGAAGCTCATCAGTTTTAGGGTCCCTAGACAAAGGCTGCCGGAGTGATCTTTGGAAGCAAGAATGATGAGGCTCCACCTCACATATTCTGGGCATGTTGCTGCAAGGAGGGGCTATTCCTAGGAGAGGGACATGATGCTGGGAAGGATGGAGGGTCAGCAAAGGAAAGGAAGACCCTCAACCAGGTGGGTTGACACGGTGACTGACACAATGGGCTCTTGTGTGTCAGGAACTGTGAGGATAGCACAGGATAGAATAGGGCTCAGATCTTTTGTTCAAAGGATTGCTATGAGTTATACTTGATGGCACCTAACAACGACAACAACAGACACCACCCCCTTTCTGAAGATGGAATCCTACCTTGCTGGCAATCCTACCCAAAGACATCTGAG